ACTTCCGAACACGAAGCCCGCCCCCCGCCCGCGTGCGTCGGCGGCCGAGTCCACCCCCACGGCCACTTTCCCCGGAGCGCATTGTGCATGGGAGAACGCGCCGTGAAATGCCCGGCCGCGGACACGTGCTGCCCCTCGAGGCGGAAGCCTAGCCCTCGCTCGCGGCCTCTGGCGCACGCCGCGTCACACGGCGCACTTTGAACCCTTCAGCGCGTGCTCATCCGCGGAACGGCGGCTGTCGTTGGTATTCTTAAGGCGCAAAGAAAACGTTGGCGGAAACTGACCAATCGACAACGTCAGGACATAAACACTTACTTTTAACATGAACGTGGGGAGACCATGCGTAATGAGCTTCACGTAAACGTAAGCAGTCACTCGTCGATATCAGTAAAATAGATAATCGACTCAGAAACTATATATACAATCGAGCGACATTCAATAAAATTGACGCAGTCATGTCAGAATGATTTTTTTTTGGATGCCATGAGTACGATGAATAATTTGGTGTTGCGTTCCATATACAATGGTGAACGGACATTTATACTCTTACAAACGGCTATGTTAATTTTGGTATTATGATTTATACCTGATGAAGACTCTAAACCTCAGGGGTAGAAACGTTGTTTCAACAATTTTTAGAAACTTGTAATAATATATGAACTGTGTTTACTTTAAAATACACTTGTATTTCTTGTATATGTAAGGACTTTTAAGTACGTTTTAATTATTTTAATCTAATTCTATACAACATTGTATGGTTATTTTAATGAAGTATGGCCATTCGTTATTATATAAATGAATGGCCATACAACGCTTTTACATTACTGAGAACAACAGACGTAGTGCAAGCTGAAGGCCTCGAAAGAGTCTGGCGTCTCGTCTCAGGAAACGTCAACACTGTTGACGTGTGCAACGTCTCTAGGGTGGCTCCTTGACTTCCATTCCGCCCCAGAGACCACAGACTTGGAGCCGTGGCCGTGGCCGCGTGGCTAGACGCGGGGGAGCACTCACTGTAGAGGATGATCTCGGTGTGGGTGGTGTGGGCGGCGCGCGCGCGCAGGGCCGCCTCGTTGGGGCAGGAGGCGCGGGCGCGCTCCTCCGTCAGGTAGCACTTGTCCAGGCCCTCGGTGTGCACCTGCAGCACGTTGGGCGAGCGCAGCGCCAGGTGGAAGCAGCGGACGCAGCTCGTGGCTCCGGAGCTGCAACAGGCCACGCCCACTCGCCGTCAGCACACACAAGCGAAGAGGCAGCGCGACGCACGCGAGGGCGCACGCAGGCGAGCAAGCGCTAAAAGCGGCACACTTGTGTATCGACTGGAGCGGCTTTCTAGACGTTCCCATTGGCCTAAGACGCAGGCCGCAAAATCACAGAAACGTCGAAAAGCTGACCCCGCATTTTCAGCACACACACACACACACACACACACACACACAGCATGCATAGCAGGCAACGGGCACGGGACAAGAATCAACACCGAACGCGCCTGCGTATAGCGACAGGATCGGAATTGTAGACGGTAACTACTTGGCTGTCCGGGAGACGCCACGTCCTAGGCACAGTTCCCATCGTTTCGGTCGCCAATCTGGGACAGAATTCTGTAGCAGAATGTTGACCGAAATATTGGAACCCGTGCCTAGGACGCGGCGTCAGCCAAATAGTTACTGACTCCGGCCGCGGAAGCGTACGCTGTCATCAGATTTGTAGACGTTGCAAATGACCCGAATGTCAGGGTGCAAAATCATTGACACATCCAAAGGATGGAATAGTTGCAATGGATACGCCCAGATGAAGCACACGGCAATCCCATCAGCATAGACTCGACAAGTCAGATCACTACTGGGACGACTGGGCCTGATATGGCAAAAGCATACAACAGCTGCAACGGTCACCTTTTGTCCAAGTAACAAAATCGTATTTTCTGAAAGAACTGAACACTATACTGGATTACTGTATTACTGCTAAGCTAGTTTTCTTAAAGGCGCGCAGATAGTGAAGCTATATTTATATCGAAAGGCCATCTCAGCATTTGCGCAAAGGTTCAGGGAATTTGGGTGAAAATCTGATCGAGATGGGGGTCATTGGTCCAGAAGATGAGGAACAATACATATTAAAGTAATATTTAATAATTTAGGTTTATACAACCTCAATGGTAATGAATAAAATATCATTTTTAAAATCTATATAATTTTCTTTTTCGATGCTCGGTATAGTATCTAATTCTTTAGAAAAATGTATGCAGCAGAAAATATTTTACTAGGCACTTAAACGTTTTTATCGATTTCATCGTTTAATGATCTTGTATGTTGTGAAATAATGTTAATGAATTGTATGAGAATTTTTGTTGAGCTGTTGATGCTGCTCCTGATGAATATGTTTACTAAGTCGTGTGTTACAGGTATATCTGCATTGGCTGAAAATATTCCCGCCCTGGAGTAAGACATTTTTGACAAAAAAAACAAACAACAACAATGAATCGTAAATGAAGAGGCAAGGCAATGGTAGAATACCCAGCGTAATAAAGATGTGTACAAGAATAACGTGAGTAGGATTTTTTAATTATTCCCACAATTAATTTTTGTAATCTAAAATTATGGATGTTATAGAATGAATTTCCTCAGAATTATGGAGGATAAGCGTACTAGAAATGTAACACAAACATAACCTCGAAAAGAATGTAACACTAAATTCTGGCTCGACTTCCAGTTGGTTGCTCTCTGCTATCTAGAGGGGCACGTTGGGTGATAAGTGACTAGCTCATAGGCATCTTCAAATAAAGAATCTCGTATCTCATTAAATGGATCCTGAACTTTTCCCCCGAAGGCCGAATGCACTCATTTCCAAAACCAACTGTAATGTGAAGATCGTCGTTCCGCAAGGGTCCCTGTCCGACTTGCCTTCTAGATCTCCAAACCTAGGTAAGAAGGCATAGGAAGGCGTTGGGCCAGGTGGGGACGGAGGCAGTGGGAGAAATGGTGAGGCGTATGGTGGCGTATTGATGCGTTGGGAGGCGTAAGGAAGTATAGAGAGGAGTTGAGAAGCATTGGAAGGCAAGAAGAGGATGCTTGGGATGCTTGCGGAGACGCGGGGAAGCATAGGAAGCTAAGGGAGGGTTAGGGTGGCATATGGCATAGGTATTCGGAGGAGTGGTAAGATGTAGGGAGGCGTGGGGAGACGTATTGAGGCATTTGGAGGCCCAAGGAGGTGTAGGAAGGGAATAAGAAGGCGTAGAGAGAAGGTGGAAGGTGTTGGAATGCGTGGAGAGGCGTGGGGAGATGTGAGGGGTCAGCAGGTGTAGGGAGGCGTACTGAGGCTTTGGGAGGATTTGTGAGGCGTACGGGTGTGGAGAGGCGTTAAGAAGGATGGGGAGGCGTTGGGTGGGATGTGGAGACGTTGGGAGGGATGGAGAGGCGATGGGAGGTGTACGGATGCGTAGAGCGTAGTTAGGAGGAGATGTGAGGCGTACGGAGGTGTAGGGAGGCGTTGAGAAAGACTGGGAGGAGTTGTGAGGTGTACGGAGGTGTAGGGCGTCGTTAGGAGGAGTTGTGAGGCGTACGGAGGTGTAGGGAGGTGTTGGGAAGAGTCGTGAGGCGTACGGAGGTGTGGAGAGTTTGTTGAGAAGCATGAGGAGGCGTTGGGAGGATTTGTGAGGCGTATGGAGGTGTAGGGAGGCGTATAGAGGCGTTGGGACTAGTTGTGAGGCGTACGGAGGTGTGGAGAAGCGTTGAGACAGATGGGGAGTCGTTGGGATGGGGAGGCGTTGGGAGGGATGGGGAGGCGTTGGGAG